AGCATTTACACTTTGCTAATATATTAAAGAAAATACTTTCAAGGAAATACACTTTAGGACACTTAGATAGTGCACTTTGCAAATATATTAATGGAATCACTTTCAAAGAAAAACACTTTAGGTCATTTAGCAGGTGCACTTTGCAAATATATTAATGGAATCACTTTCAAAGAAATACACTCTAGGACACTTAGATAGAGCACTTTGCAATTATATTAATGGAATCACTTTCAAAGAAATACACTCTAAGACACTTGGATAGAGCACTTTGCAAATTACACTTTAGGACACTTAGCAGGAGCACTCTGCAAATATATTGATGGAATCACTTTTAAGGAAATACACTTTAGGACACTTAGCAGGTGCACATTACAAATATATTAATGGAATCACTTTCAAAGAAACACACTTTAGGACACTTAGCAGGAGCAATTTGCAAATATATTGATGGAATCACTTTTAAGGAAATACACTTTAGGATACTTAGCGGGTGCACTTTACAAATATATTTATGGAATCACTTTTAAGGAAATACACTTTAGGACACTTAGAAGGAGCACTTTGCAACTATATTAATGGAATCACTTTTAAAGAAATACACTTTAGGACACTTAGCAGGAGCACTTTGCAAATATATTAATGGAATCACTTTTAAGGAAATACACTTTAGGACACTTAGTAGGTGCACTTTGCAAATATATTAATGGAATCACTTTGAAGGAAATGCACTTTAGGACACTTAGGAGGAGCACTCTGCAAATATATTAATGGAATCACTTTCAAAGAAACACACTTTAGGACACTTAGCAGGAGCACTTTGCAAATATATTTATGGAATCACTTTTATATAAATACACTTTAGGATACTTTGAAGGAGCACTTTGCAAATATATTAATGGAATCACTTTTAAAGAAATACACTTTAGGACACTTAGGAGCACTTTGCAAATATATTAATTGAATCACTTTCTAGTAATGCACTTTAGAACACTTAGCAGGAGCATTTTGCAAAGATATTAATGGAATCACTTTTAAAGGGCACTTTACAATTATACTTTAGGACAATTAGCAGGAGCACTTTGCGAATATATTTATGGAAACACTTTTAGGGAAATACACTTTAGGACAATTAGCAAGAGCACTTTGCAAATATATTAATGGAATCACTTTTAAGGTATCCGACCGCTTTGAAAACGAGTATTTCGACGAAATATTCAAATTTCAGTTTATTGTCTCATTATGTTGCCCCATTTCTCTAGTTTTCAAAAATGTCTCGTTTTTGCATATGCGTCAAATAGAAATTTAGTTATGGTAATTTTAGTAATGAATGGTAGCTGTCAAATTTACCGGAAGTGATATAAACGAAACCGAAACCAACCAATAGTTTTACTTTTTTCTCCATTTATGTAAAAAAAAAGACAAAATATTTAATTTTTAGGGCTCCTAGACTCTCGGTTGACGAATCTGAATAATGTTTTTATGTAACTGTGCTTTTCTAAGCATCAACTTTACTTAAGCAACAAACGATATGCTTGAATTTTTGCAATCGTTTGCTTACATTTGAAGCGTTCATTTTATTTCTTCTTTTTTGTTGTATTTTTAACAAATTCTCTGATTTATTTAGAAAAATTTGTATTAATTTAAACGAAATGGGTAAGAACAGAACTACTCGATCAAAAAAACGTAAATTTCATGGAAATTAACATTCTAATAAATGTGCTGATACGTTGATACTGAAAAGATTGATGTTTCAGTTAGTGCAAGTTCTTCAAAATTATCTCTTGCAAGTGATTATACTGATAAAGTGAGCTCTTTGGAGGATAAAAATATACGTGGTAATAGAATTATAGATATGGAGATCCTAATTGCTGCATTTACTTAATTGTGCTGCCCGATTTGTTTTGATAACAAGTTGAATGTTTTGGAAGATTTAAGGTCTTAGCCTCTCTTCTAACTTGACGTTGGTGTGCAAAAAATGTGACTTTGCAAAAGCATTTTGTACCTCAAAGAAAGATAACAAGCAAAGTGAAATCAAATTCTTAATAAATTTCTTGTTATTACTACAAAGTATAATTACTAATTGTAATACATGCATTTTTAAGTATTATAACATTATTAGAATGCTTGTGCAGTAAAACTGACTAATATAAAATGCGTGCACAGAAAACTCCAGGCATTGAATAAAAGTGTAAAATTGTGCATATATCTTAAGAAGAGTAGTGTCTATAAAACATATTAATATTTAGCTATCAAACAGTCATAAATTTTAAATAAAGTGCAATTATAAACTTCAATTGAGTTTTTTGCGATTTTTTACTTACGAAAAACAAGATAACTCCAACAAATTTTGTAATTTTGTCTTCAAATTTTCAGTGAATGTTTCTTACATATATGTTTGAGTAACTAACCTCTAAAATTCAGAGAACTTGGGATAGATTTTATTTTAATAGGATTTTTTCTTTTACGTATAGTGAAAAAAAAAGAACAATTTTGAAAAAACACGATTAATGTAACATAATATTTTTTCTAGACAAGATAAATCTTAATCTGTGGTTCACTACACTAACTGATAGCTTTAAAGCATTTATAAAAAGTTTGATTGCCTATTCTTTGATAGTTTTTAATATAGAGTGTTTTCCGCAAGCGATTAATTTTCACTAAAAAACATTATAAAACCTCTCTTAAATAAAATATTTTTGGTATTTTTAAAATTTTTGCTATTAATTATTTCTATTTACATCAATATATGTAATGAAAATCTATAATATTGTTAAAAATATTGTTTTCTGAAATTTTTTGTTCCGAAGGTAGTCGGATACCTTAAGGAAATACACTTTAGTACACTTAGCAGGTGCACTTTGCAAATATATTAATGGAATCCCTTTTAAGGAAATATACTTTAGGACACTTAGCAGGAGCACTTTGCAAATATATTAATGGAATCCCTTTTAACGAAATACACTTTAGTGCACTTAGCAGGTACACTTTGCAAATATATTAAAGGAATCACTTTAAAGGAAATACACTTTAGTACACTTAGCAGGTGCACTTTGCAAATATATTACTAGAATCACTTTCTAACAATTTGTATTTCTTAGAATTTCTGAATGTGTATTTAATAAAAATTAATGTGGAAAAATTTTTTTTTTCTCAACCAGCATTCTGTATTAATTCTATTTTTTGCTTATTAAAATATATTCTAAACATAGTATGTACCATATACGTTTTTAAGGTACTTAGATTTAAAGGTAATTTAAGTTGAAAACATAATTAGGCTAAAAAAAAAAACTTTGCAGTTCAAAAATAAACAGTAAGCACTCTATAATACCAAAAAAAATTTGAATACGCTAACCTTTTAAAATTTTATTAAAAAAAATAGAATCTAAAATGATTTATTTTGTTTTTTTATTTAGATTATTGCTATTGTTCGATTATAAACCTTCAACAAATTTACAAAAACTGTATTTTTGGAATTTTTACATCATTTTCAACATAGGATGGTAATGACACTTTCTGACAAATTTACTTATTTAAACCTCATTTTTGCCAAAATAAATGAAGATGTTTCATGGAAATTAGTATTTTTTGAAAAATACATATATTATCTTGTTAAAAAATGCCAAACTGCACCCTTTGTGCAAAGTTGAAAAATTAAAAAATTGGAAGTGCAAAATCACCCCTTCCCAGATAATTGCCCAAATACACTTTAGTACACTTAGCAGGTGCACTTTGCAAAAATATCAATAGATTCCCTTTTTAGGAATTGCACTTTATTACACTTAGCAGGAGCACTTTGAAAATATATATTAATGGAATCACTTTCAAAGAATGCACTTTAGAACACTTAGCAGGAGCACTTTGCAAATATATTAATGGAATCACTTTCAAAGAAATACACTTTAGGACAATTAGCAGGAGCACTTTGCAAATATACTAATGGAATCACTTTCAACGAAATACACTTTAGGACACTTAGAAGGAGCACTTTGCAAATATATAAATGGAATCACTTTTAGGGAAATACACTTTAGTACACTTAGCAGGTGCACTTTGCAAATATATTACTAGAAACACTTTCTAACAATTTGTATTTCTTAGAATTTCTGAATGTGTATTTAATAAAAATTAATGAGTAAAAAATATTTTTTACGCAACCAGCATTCTGTATTAATTCTATTTTTTGCTTATTAAAATTTATTCCAAACTTAGTATGTACCATATATGTTTTNACTTTGCAAATACATTAAAGGAATCACTTTAAAAAAAATACACTTTAGGACACTTAGCAGGAACACTTTGCACATATATTAATGGAATCACTTTTAAGGAAATACACTTTAGTGCACTTAGCAGGTGCACTTTGCAAATACATTAAAGGAATCACTTTAAAAAAAATACACTTTAGGACACTTAGCAGGAGCACTTTGCACATATATTAATGGAATCACTTTTAAGGAAATACACTTTAGTACACTTAACAGGTGCATTTTGCAAATATATTAAAGGAATCACTTTTTAGGAAATACTCTTTAGTACACTTAGCAGGTGCACTTTGCAAATATATTACTATAATCACTTTCTATCAATTTGTATTTCTTAGAATTTCTGAATGTATATTTAATAAAAATTAATGTGTAAAAAATATTTTTTACACAACCAGCATTCTGTATTGATTCTATTTTTTGCTTATTAAAATATATTCCAAACATAGTATCTACCATCCTTCCTTCCATTTCACAGTGATTACCATCCTTCCTCAATCATTACCATCCTTACCAAAGAATTTGCTGTCCTTAAGTTATTTATGTTTGAATATTTAAATATATGTTTTTAAGGTACTTAGATTTAATGGTAATTTAAGTTGAAAACATAATTAGGCTAAAAAAAAACTTTGCAGGTCAAAAATAAACAGTAAGCACTCTATAATACCAAAAAAATTAGAATACGCTAACCTTTTAAAATTTTATTTAAAAAAAAAATCGAATCTGAAATGATTTATTTTGTTTTTTTATTTAGATTATTGCTAATGTTCGATTATAAACCTTCAACAAATTTACAAAAACTGTATTTTTGGAATTTTTACATCATTTTCAACATAGGATGGTAATGACGCTTTCAGACAAATTTACTTATTTAAACCTCATATTTGCCAAAATAAATGAAGATGTTTCATGGATTTGAGTATTTTTTGAAAAATACATATATTATCTCGTTAAAAAATGCCAAACTGCACCCTTTGTGCAAAGCTGAAAAATTAAAAAATTGGAAGTGCAATATCACACCTTCCCATATAATTGCCCAAATACACTTTAGTACACATAGCAGGTGCACTTTGCAAAAATATTAATAGATTCACTTTTAAAGAAATACACTTTAGTACACTTAGTTGGTGCACTTTTCAAATATATTTATAGAATCACTTTTTAAGAAATACACTTTAGCGTAGGTTCAGAATCCATGAATTCTCGTTAAATATTTAGTAATAATAAAATATATAAATACACCTTGTAATTAAAATTCTAATGAGCGTGGATCAGAAGCCATGTTCACTTTGCAAATATATTAATACATTAATGGAATCAGTTATTAACATTGCAAAAATATTAACCAAATATTCTAAATAATGCAATTAAAATAAGTACTTACTTGAATTTCTTGATGTATTCTTTTTAATAATCCTCCCATAATGGAACAACAGAGAAAGTAGAACGAGATTTAAACTAACAAAAACCTTTGAACTTAAATAATGAAATTTTTACTAATAATACATGCTGATAAGGATAATAGTAAACACTAATA